CTCGGAACAAAAGCGCTTGGATGCCGACCGTGATTGAAACGGCTCCTGTGATTTATTCGGCCGACCCGCGTAAGCTGCTCGCGAATGAAGCCAACGTGTTAGGTAAATTATGGGAAGCGACGCCCATGCCAGAACCTCTGGAGGTTTTGGACAGAAATTGTTTCGACAGGCTCAAGCCTGATGACATTCGAGCTGCCAGTAGAGGGTTCTCACCACACACTGCGCAGTCACTCGACGGTGTACATGTGCGGCGCTTCAGCTTGCTCCCCGGCGCGGGGCTCGAAGTGCTCAGTTGCCTGTTTCAACCTGTTGAAAAGATCGGGGTCTACCCGGAGGCCCTGCATTGGATGCTTTTCCCCCTCCTCGAGAAGCCAAAAGGGGGTTTGCGTCCTGTCCTGCTCTGTGCCTCTCCTGTTCGCCTGTGGGAAAAGCTCAGGCGACCGCAGCTGCTCCCGCATTGCGACGCGCACCCGCGCAAGTATTGGGCTTTTGGGGCGGGGAAGTCGGCGGAGGCTGAAATGTGGAAGCAGGCGGTCAAAGCGGAGGCCCAAGTGGCCGAAGGGGGTGTCACGGGAGGTTTTTCTTGGGATGGCACCAAGTATTATGAATCGTTCAGGCTCACCACGCTTAGGGATCGCTCCCTGCAGGCGGGCCTTAACCCTATCGTGGTCAAGGTGACCTACAATTTTTGGCGCGGGCCTCGGGTTTTGCGGCTTGGCTCGGACCACAGCCTTTCTCCGATGTACGCGAAGTGTGGGTTGCCAGCAGGATCCTGCCTGAATGACATCAACGTTAAAGTTTGTGCTATGGTCCCGTTCGACGGTTTCGTTGCCAGGAATCCTGCTGTTGACCTTGCTTCGTACGTCGACGACGACACCGTCGGCGCGTGCGGCGCGGCGGGCCATGTGGTCCAAGTTCTCGGCCAGGCAGCTGAGGACCTGGAACGCGTCTTTAAGGAAGATTTAGGTGTTGGTTTGGCCCCGACAAACTCATGACCTTTGGCTCCACCCCCGACTTGTCGCGGCGAGTTGGACGCAGGCTCGGAACGCTGGCTGGGGCGGTCGGGGCCCGCGTGGTCTCGCTCGGGGTCGATTTAGCTCCTGGGGTGAAACGCAGCACCAAACAAGCTCTTGGTAAACGCAAGGCCCGAGTTGCGGGCATGATTCGCAGACGCCGAAGGCTCCAGGGGTATAGGAAAGCTCTGCCGAGGGACAAATATAGAATCGGTAAGATTTACACCGCTGGCGTTAAGCCCGCGGTCAGTTTTGGAGATGCGGTGACTGGCATGTCTGACGCTGAACTTAAGCGCGCGCGAGGGGTGATGCTTTCCTATCAGGCGCCGTGTCATGGAGGGGTTTCACTCACTGCCAAGACAGCTCTGTTAGGCGATCCGATGTGGAGGAGCATGGTCGCTCCTGCGCTCGCTTGGGCAGCCGCTGCGTGGAGCACCACGACGGCGCCGTGCACGGCCAGTTTCACGCTGCCCCAGCTTCGCAGCATGTGGGACTCCATCTCCCAGGAAGGAATTGAGGGGTGGAAATGGGGGAAGACGAGGGGTCCTATCAGTCGGATGATGTTGTCGCTTTTTCGCATCGGGTGGAAATCGACTTCGTTTTTGATGTGGGTCGACGATAGGGGAGTCGAGTTGAGTCTGTTGTACAACTCCCCTGCCATGATCTCCGCGCTCTTGAAAGAAGGGGTGCAACGACACCACGAGCGGGTCCTGGGACAGAAGCTCGGATGGCCTGTAGGAGATCGTGTCTGCGTCGAGCCGCTGCGACGTACCACTCAGCCTAGACTCCGAGGCATAGGACTGAATGCCCCAGGCAAGTACTTGGTCAAAACGGTCTTTTGCGACGGACTCTGGACCGAGGATCGGGCGCAGCAGGCTGGTTATCATTCGACAGGTTGCTGCCCGCTGCGCGGGGGGCCAGATTCTGTTGCCCATAGGATTTACTTTTGCGCCAGCCCCGAGGTTCCGGCGGCTAGGACTAGTACGGGGGTGAAGGACAGCTTCTTTCAGAGGGCGAGGGAAGGGGAGCACAACTTCTACGCTGGTCTAAAGTTTGCCAACCCTGTCAAAGATATGCCGCCTTTGTCCGACCAGCACGAGCCTTGCTTGTATAGCGCCGAGGGTCAGCGAATGGATTGGGCGGACTTCGACACTACTGATTTGAATGTGGCGGGGGGCGGGTCGTGTTTCCCGCGCCGGATTCGAGATCTATCACGAGCAGCGTTTTCATGGGTGTTCATGGGAAGGGACGGAGAGCAGGTAGCAATTGCAAAATGCCCCGTGTGGCCGAGCCTTCCTCAGACGAGCCAGGCAGCAGAGCAACTTCAGCTGGCCTTGCTCCCGATTTTCGTGCCGAAGCATGGGCGAGCCTGCTACAGTGATTGTATGAATGCCGTCAAGCTTCACAATGCCAGCACGGTTTCTCAGTTGAGTCATAAACACAAGTATGCTGGACTCAGGCGCGGAGCTCTGCAGCACATGGAACGAGATGCGTACGCCCCAGCCGTCTGGACCCCAGCACACAGGGACTCTGCCACGATAGATATGCTAGAAGAGCCTCAGCGGTCCATAGGTCGTGCCAACAGGCGTGCGGATCATGAAGCCAAGCAAGCGATTTTGTTGCACCCACAAGCTAGCCAAAACGAGTGGGACGATGTGAAGAGCTCGATCGAGAGAATCGAAACGGTGGCGCGGATTTTGGCGGACGTTCTGCCGCTTTTTTCCAGGGTCACCCACGCTCGGCCTCCTCGACGGGCCAAGAAGCAGAAAGTGTTTAAGCGTGCCGAGGGTTGGCACACTTGGGACACCTGGCTGTGGGGCCATCGGTGTTCGAGTTGCCTCAGGTTTTATGCAGGAGCCCTGGAAGACAGACCCACGGTGGGCTGCGAGGGCTTCCCTAGGATGGTCGAAGAGCTACTGACCATCTCGCCAGAACATGGCCACGTTCTGGCTAGCACGCAAGTCGGGGACGAACCAAGTCCGTTGTTTTTCTGCATGAGCTGTGGCTACTACGCCCAGCACCGCCTGCACATGCTCTTGTCACGTTGTCTCAGGCCCCTAAGAGACAGAGACAGGAGCAGTGCAGGCACCACTGCGCTTCGAAGGCTCAGGAGAGGCCTGCACCCGAAGCGCGATGTACCCGTTTCTTGCGCGGAGCTCGAGGCTCCGCTCACGAGGGTCGAGGCGCGAGCGCATGTCGTAGCGTCCCGACCCCAGCAGACGCCAGCGTGTGCGTCGCCCCTTTCAGGCCTGGATGCCCTCCGTGCCCGTGTAGCGGCCAAGGAGGCTCGTGCGAAGGGCTGAGAGGGGTGGAGGTGAGGTCCAAGGTGACCAAAAAATCCTCCTCCTCCCCCTCCTCCTCCTCCTCCTCCTCCTCCTCCTCCTCCTCCTCCTCCTCCCCGTCCTCCTCCTCCTCCTCCTCCTCCTCCTCCTCCTCCTCCTCGTCCTCCTCCTCCCCCTCCTCCTCCTCCGCCCTCCTCCTCCCCTCCTCCTCTCCTCCTCCTCTCTCCCCTGATCCCGTCCAGTGCGGGCGCCGCCTCGAGAGAAACAGTAGCAAAAACACAGTCTGGGGACGACTGTTCGACTACTGTTCGGTTGTTGTTGGGCATGCTTTGAGCATTGTTTCGTCCACAATCCGCCTGAAGGGGGGGGGGGGGGGCATGCCCGACCTAAACCCAGGCGCTCCGTGGGCCCACAAAGGGGCTCGTCGCCTCGTCGCTCCTCGCAGCAGTGCCGACTTCTGCTTACGACTGCTCGAGCATGTCTGTTTGCCCTCGCGCCAGCGGACGGCGCAATTGTGGCTTGTGAGTGAGCTGTGGTAGTGGAGTTCGACTGCTCGGGGCCCTGAGGCCACCAGTTTGTACGCTTTTGTCCAACAACAGTTGGGCAGGCCAGGGGGTGGTACGTTTTAGGGCCAATTCGTTTCCTTCGGCATCTGGTTTCACTTGTCTCCTCCTCCTCCTCCGGGGCCAGTATTCGGCGACGACCTCTTGGCAACGACACGTGCCGTGCCAAGCTCTCTGCCACAAAAAGAAGTGTGCACGCTTTTGTGAGTAGACTGTCCTTCAAGTCTGACAAAATGGCCCTGCATGGACGTTCGCTCGACTGGTTGCGCGCCACGTACCCCTTCCGCCACCGCGTGGACGAAGGTGTACAGAGGAGGGTGGCGCCTCCGCCAGTGCCTGGAAGGGTCAGGCCTGGCCATTGCGTCCTGGTGATGTGCGGCTGCATTGGAAAAGCTGCGGGTGTACTAGAGGCGGGCACTGGTTCTGCTAGGGGTAAGTCGGGCCTGTCCCTCTACAGAGGGAATATTCAAACATAGTCCAAAAAATAGTATGGGTAGTATTTTTGGACTATTTTTGGGCATTTGGGGGGTATGTTTTGGCTATTTTTTTTTTACACGCCCGACCTAATGCTAGGGGAACGAAGAATGACAGAAGCATAAAAACTCCCAGGTCCGCACGGATTTCTCGGATCCGCGCTGGACCCCCCTGGCGGCGGCTCTGGCGCCGCCCCTGGCGCGCTCCGCGCGCCCAGGGAGGGGGGGTCCAGCGCCGATCCGAGAAATCCGCGCGGACCTCCGAGTTTTTATGCTCATGTCAGACTTCGTTCCCCCAATTGAGGAAGCAGGCGGACGCAGAGGACAAGCGCACGAGCCAGCTTGCACGCCGCTCTGCAGCGGCGAGGGGGCCGTGGACCGCAGCCCCGACACGGGAGGCGACCTGCAGCCTCGGCCTGGCCCAGCCGCCTGCGTTGCATGCGCTGCGTTCCGCTCCCCCGAGTTGGCAGCGCTTCCGTTCAGTGAGCGAGGGGGTAGCGAGGTGTGGGGGGGAGGGGAGTGAGGACGAGGAGTGTGGACGGTGATCTCGGGGCCAGTGGTGCCGGCCCCTGTCGGCACAGTCAGCGTCGTGAGAGCTCGCACGCGATGCCACGAAGGGCATCCCTGAGAGGACCAGCGCCGGTATGGGGGCCCGCGCCTGCACGGCAGGCGCTCGCTGCGCAGCATCGCCTGGCCGCTGAGCGAGATTCGCACCCAGCTGGAGGCCATTGCCGACGTGGAGGGCGTGCGGGAGCTAATGGAGCTCCCCGGAGGAGGGGCAGGAGGAGGAAGAGGAAGAGGAGGAGGAGGAGGAGGAGGAGGAGGAGGAGGAGGAGGAGGAGGAGGAGGAGGGGGAGGAGGAGGGGAAGGAGGAGGAGGGGGAGGAGGAGGAGGAGGAGGAGGAGGAGGAGGAGGAGGAGGAGGAGGAGGAGGAGGAGGAGCAGGAGGCACGGCGGGTGAGGAGGAGAAAGCAGTCTCGGCGAGACAGACCAGCGGCCAGCGTCGTTAGGAGGAGGAGCTCACTTCTCCCTACTCCTGTTGGCCGCCCCCCTCCTCCCTGTCCCTTTTGCCTCCCTCCCAGTCCTCCCTCCCGCCCTCGCCTCCCTCGATCCTGCCCTCTGTGAGCCCGGCGGGTCACCGCCTGCAGCCGCTGCTGTGGACGGCCGAGGGAGGAGAGCAGCACCCGTCGTCCAGTGCATCACGCTTGGGTGGTGGTGCATGGTCATGTTGCTTAGGGGCGTCAGCGCCCAGACGAGGTGGCGGTGCTTCACCTTGACGAAGGCATGCCTCGGGCCTCGGGAGTGGCCCACACGCTCCCAGACGTTCCCTCCTGCACTCTGTCCCTGCCTCCCGCCGGAGCCTCCTTCCTCAGGACCAGTTCCCCGCCTGCGTCATGGTCGGCAGCATCGCGAACAACCGCGAGCTGGTGGCCGCGCTGCTGGGCGACCACGGGATTGCGGGGGACGCCGCGGCGGTGCTCGTCGCGCCAGGCAGGGAAGGGCCTGGGGCCCAGGGAGAAGCGGCACCACCACCGCCAGGGGGCCACATCCGGCGAGGAGGTCCACGAGCCCTCCCCGAGCTGGGGATAGGGGATGTCTCGAGGGAGAGGGGGGCGGACCACACCGTGCGTGTAGGTGAAGACCGCTTATCTCCTCCGTTCATCCTTCTTTCCTGCTATCCTCTCGGCTCGGGTATTGGCCAGCATCTAGCATCCTGCTGGATGCACTTGCGCCCGCAGTTCGCAGGGCGCGAGGATGAGAGATCTCCATCTTGCATCTTCCTTATCCTCTGCCTACGGACCATACGGTGGGTTCGACCCTCTGGTCGTTAACCTCCGTTCACACACCACCCGGGGGGGGGGCCCCCGTGGCTCCTCCCGCTGGTGGTACCTGGTGGTGGTGGTGCCGCCTGTCTTCGTTCCCAGAATGGGGGGGGGAATGGGGAGGCAGGGCTGGGGAGGCAGGGCTCGGAAGGGGAGGGGCAAGCTGGGTGCGCTCGCGCCATGTCTGACAACCTGCCCCTCCCACCCGTCCCTTCCCAATGCACCGGCTCTTCTCTGTCCGCCAGCGGGCGACGTGGCGGAATTGGGCCCCCCCGGAGGAGAGAGGCAGGGAGAGGCGGGACGGGAGAGACAAGACGAGGGCGAGGATGAGGATCCGGACAAGCGGAGGGCGAGGATGAGGCAGAGGAGCAGCAGGAGGGCGAGGGGAGGGACGAGGAGCAGGAGGTCGCACTAGCGGCGTTCGCTGCACCTGGAAGAGGGCAGTGAGAGACGATTGACGATTCGACACGCCCTCGTCCATCTGCAAGCAAGTAGTTTCATGCGCGTGTGTCAAATGATTGCTGTTGAAGCGACGGATAGGAGGTGAGGTGGAGGAGATGGAGTGGCGAGAAAGGGAGCTAAGTCGGAGCAGTTGGGGAAGGTGGAGCAATGGAGGACGAGGAGGAGGACGAGGAGGAGGAGGAGGAAGAAGAAGAGAAGCGGGGAGCATAATGAGGAGAGGGGAGGGATGCAGGGGACGATGGGGGGGGGAGAGGAGGGGGTGGCGGACCAGCTGGAGGATGAGAAGGGCGAGGGGGGTCCACACGTCCTTTCGCCCAGATGTGGAGGAGGGCGGCCAGCCCCTCGGCGTCGGCAGGTCCCCAGCGAGCGTCTTTCCTCCCCGGAAGATGCGCCTGTAATGGGGTAGGGGGGAGGGCAACGGAGGGGAGGGGAGGGGACGGTGGATAGCGGGGAGGAGAGAGAGGAGGGGGGGGGGGAAAGCGGAGGAAGGAAGAGCAGGATGGGACGGGGGAGGGAGGGATGGATGCGCAGATGGAAGGAGGGCGCGGGGATGAAGAGGACGGGGGGGCGGGGGATAGGGATGGGGGAGGGGGGCACGTAGTAAGGTGGAGTAGGGGTTTGGAAGGGGGGGGGGGGAATGGCAGGGGATGCGAGGGATGCGAGAGGGGGGGGGAGGGGATGCGAGGGCGAGGGGGGGCAACCCGGCAGGCATGCGCCAGCCCGTGGCCATGGAGCTCAGGTGTGGCGAGGAGAGGCCCTTCAGCGGCCCCGAGGCGGAGGATCGAGGGGGGGGTGCGCCAGCCGGGCGCCCCGAGGCTGTGTTTGATACAACCCCCCCCTCCTCCTCCTCCTCCTCCTCCTCCTCCCCCTCCTCCTCGCCCTCTCCTCTTCGGGTCGCCTACGGCCCCAGGGGAAACCGTCCACGGGTGGCGCGGGGCCGTCAGAGGGGGGCGGGGACGAGGAGGAGGAGGATGACGATGATCGCAAACATTGATCAAGGAGGCGTGAATTGGCGACGGTTCCCGTTTCCATGGGAAATCGCGGAGTCCCGCCGACGAACGGGGCGGCACCGGCCGCATTTTGGGGAGGGCGCCTCCCCGGATCCATGGATTGGGCGACCGCGCGCCAAATCCATGGATTGTTAATCTATGTCTGCGCGCCCCCGAACGTAGACTACCCACCTAACGTAGCCCGGACCTCGGTGACACCGAGCCCGGCCCGCGCGACAGGGGCGTGACACCTGCATTTTTGGCGACGCAATTGTCTCCGAATGATGCTCTGCCTTGCCCCCGGTTTTTTTTTGCACTGCTTCAGGGAAGCGTCTTGAGCCAGAGATGCATCAAGGAAGAAAAAATAGCCAGTACGATTGGGCGGCGCATGCGTGGGAAAAGGTGCCACCTGTAGCCACGACGGCTCGGCATGGCCTGTCAGAGAGGCGCCTGCTCGCTCAGACTCACGAGTTGCACCACGGGCCCCTGTTCGGCCACCTGTGGGGCCAGGAGCAGAGGGAAGGAAAGGAGGGATCCGTGGCTGATGCCGGCCTCGCAGGCTTCCCTGATGCCAGCCTCCTAAGCCCCTTCCCCTCCCCCCCCCCGATGGGGGAAGAGTGGGGGTCAGCCGAGGCAGCGCCCTGGGCTCTGGACCACCTGGGCCCCAGAGGTCCAGGCCCCCCCTGGTGGGGTCCGAGTTACACCTTACTCGTATGGCGCTCTCAAGCCCGTGCCTTTTCAGTACGCGTGTCAACGTTTCGCCCCTGCTGGGGCTCGTCAGGCCTCGAATGAAAATGGCAGCGGCATGCGAACACAGCAAGCGCATGATCGACACAATACTGCGTGCAATGCGATACGGCAAACATAAACACATGCATGCATGCGGCGATCTCAACAACACCCCTGTATTGGATGACTGCTGCTTCTGCCGCCGGGAGGGGTCGGAGGATCGCGCCGCATCGCCGATGCATCGACGATGCGGCTCGATGCGGAGCCCGATCTTCTCCACGCCGACGCCGCCGATGCGTCGCCGACGTCGGCGATGCATCGACGATGCATCGTCGCCGGTGCCTTGGCGGCGCGGCGCGAGCCTCCGACCACATCTGCGCGGACCCCATCCGGGGGGCTTCTGAGAGGGCGGGTGTGTGGCTTGGCGGGCGCTCCCCGCAGAGGAGTGGCTGCGCAGCGTGAAGGAGACGGCGCAGAAGGCGCTGGGCCAGCGCCTGAAGACGGAGCCCCTGCGCCTGCGGCTCTGCACCGTGGGCTGCGCGAATCTCGACGTCGTGCAGCTCCCCGAGAAGAAGAGCCAGGACGGGGGCGTCCAGCAGAAGATCGAGGACACTCCCCC